AGATCATTGGTAACATAGAATCTTTTTGTTTAAACGACAAGACTGGATCTTTAAGATAATCTATCGTGCTGCAACAACATACATGGAGACCTATAAAGTGAAAAACAAAGGACATTGGTAAGTAATAATAAAACAGAGAAACTACACAAATCACAATCAGAAAAGTTTTAGATGCATAGTTTCCTTATAAACTTTAGGGAGCAGTTCTAAAGCCATAGACAAACTAGTCCGGCACCAAAGGCAACTAATGAATTTTAGTTATAAATCCTAGAACTATTTAACAATGTGCATTATAAACCTTAAGCCAAAGGTAAGTATGTTCCTCCATAAACACAAGTAGCATCAATGAATCAATAATGTAGCAAAATGGCAATTACGGTGAAATCTTCAATCCACAATTTTGCGCTAATGTATGTCCTACAAAGTTGTATAAGGGCAAGCCTATACTACTCAAACAGCAATCAAGACCCTAACACAACCTGGGAAATCTTAATTCACTCTCAACAGTTGCTCGAAACAGCGCTATGCCTTACATTAAGCATTAGATTCAAAGATTGAGAACAACAATAGGACTTCAATATTCTGATACCAAATGCACCATATATTCTTTGAAAACTGAAATCAAGATCAAGAATGTTTCACAAAATCTGAGGTGCACACCATACCAAAGATGACATTTTTAGGAACACGAATTCCCTGCCCAGCTAAAAAAGCACAAATCTTTCACAAAACCCAATTGGACTAATACAACTAAAGCAATTATAACCAAGACCAAGAAGGCAAAACTCAAACTATTTGCAAAATTAAACAAAACCCCGTAAAGAAATCAACAAAAAAATAAGTTAGAAACTCACTCAGGAACAGGATAAAGACATGGGCAGTGAGCTTCAGAGACGCCATTTCCTTCCTGCCTTCAATTTCCTTACCCTCCAAACAGTGAAACCATCACAGAGAATGTGAGAGAGAGAGAGAGAGAGATAAACGCAGCGTTTTCAAGCTTCAGGCTTGGAGTTCAGAGAAGGGTTTTGCAGGTGAGGAAATGGAGGAGGAAACATTGTGGGAAGAGAAGAGGAAGAAAAGGCGAGAAATAGGGAGAGGGGGAGCAGAGTAGGAGAAGCCATGAATGAGCTTGGAAGTGGGGCGGGGCCCTCAGAAGCAGTAATAGCTGTCATGAGTGGGCCCCACATTGAGCAGAAGACTCAGGTAGGAGAGCACTTGTGCATTAACGCCATCCATTGCCTTTTTCTCCCTCCCCATGTAAAGGATCCTCGGATACTCTTTGTGGTGATTTGAGAATCAAGTAATTACACTTGTTTATCATATATTGTGTGATCAGTTTTCATTAGATACTATTTATATTTAATTTTAAATTTTGAATTTAAAATAATTTCTAACTGCATAATATATGATGATCGACCGTGATTGCTTGATCGCTCATATCCCCTCAAAAAGGATCCGACGACAGTCCTTCTCCGTTCCCCCACCCCGCTCCACAACCACAACCCGCTCCACAACCACAACCCGCTCCACAACCACAACCGGCCAACACCTGCTTTCTACACCAGCCATTTGGCACATGTGACACGTGTGAAAATTCCGTGCGTGATGGCAGTCGTTCGGGTTATAATTAAAGCGGCCATCGCTCTGAAATATCTGGTGCTCATTTGTGTAGGCAATCAAATTGAGAAGCTGTGAAATATCAATATTTTTTATTAAAGATATTATGATGGTGTCAAATTTTTTACATGTTCATCATTGTTTCAATATTTTTATTTTACATTATTTAATATACAATTAGGTTGTATTCTATTTTACTTATAAGTGAGAGTATCTGAATTTATATTTAAGAAATCTTAGTTTTGAATCTTGTAAATAACGAGTTTAAAATTAATTTATATCTCACATTCCTTTAGTGTAAATATATCATTATATTAAAAAAAAAAAAAAAACTTTGTGCGCATGGTATTATTACATACAAACTTCTATAGTGCATACCTACTAATTTAATTTAAAATGGTGAATTGGGTTTCTAGAGTAAAGTTCAAGTTTGGTATTGGGTCATTTTTAACTTTTATTATGATTTATGATCCGTTTTATAGTTTGTTTGGAAAAGCAAATAAAAATGATTAGCATAATACATGTGAAGGAGAATCCTAATCAATCCTAATGATGTGGATTATGCCGTTTAGGTAAGGAATCCACACCTTGTCTTCAACGATAAGCATTACATGATTAAGAAATTTAACGTTGATAAAAATATAAAAAAAGGTGAAACATCAACTTTCACTAGTCATGATGTGACAGCCCGTCCCGGAAATTTTAAAAACGTACGCGTGAAAAGACAATTTTACCCCTAGTGCGATTTCTTTACGTTGTGTGGTTGTTTGAGTTGGTGTGGCTAGCTGTGGACCACACACACTCCCATAATCTCCCTCACCCTTTCCCCTTATCCCTGCACCTGTCCAGAGTTCCCTTTCCCTTCCCATTTTTCATACAACGTACGGACACACACACAAACCCATCAAACCTTCACAGATCGAAGAAACAAAATACATATCCATGCTCGTGAGGCTCGTAGGAGTCCAACCATACCCATTTCAGGTAGGGTTACCTTCGTTTTCACGTCAAACTCGTGATGTCCAATTTTTGGTACTGTTCATGCACACGTGATTTCTCATGTTTTAGGGAATTTCAAGCTTGTAGGAAGTTTGGTGAGGTCCCTAGGAGGCTCGGGGTGGTTCGTTTGAAGGTTTTGGACGTCGGGATAGTGAGTTTCGAGGTTGGCCGGAATTGGAGGAGTTTTCCAGGTGAGATTTTGTGGATTTTAGCACTTGAAAGTGGTATGATTTTGTTCCTCTTGTTGTAAGCTTCAATTTGGTACCAATTTTGTGAAATTTGGTTGAAAAACGAAGAAGATATCACGATTTGAATTTCTCCCGATTTTCCGGCGCCGAAGAAGACGACGGAATATTCCGTCAAAACTGACAGAATATTCCTAACGCCGTTGACAGAAACCGTTAAAGATAACGAAATATTCCTGACGGCGTCAACTGATGCCGTCAGCGTGCCTGCGTGTGCGGCGGTGGAAATTTTTTCTAAAAATATGGGGATGTTCCTGAGGTTGAGTAGATCACGTTGGTGTATTTATACACCCCATTTGAGCAATGTATGAGAAGTTATTTCTAAAGTTTGGTTATGTGCTTTAAAATTAACGTTTTTATAGTTGTTTCGCATATAGGTGAGACGTACCCCGAGCACGAGCGTGGTCACTTGAGGCAGGGGGGTTACGACCCTTCTACGTACCAGTGAGTGGACTTTTGGTTTTCCGTATATACCTATATACTTATATGTTTCCCAGAAAATGAATTAAAATGTTTTTACATTATTATGCCATGTTTATTGGTTGCCTTCCGTTTATACATTATTGGTTATATATATATACATGTGTATTAGTGCCGTGGACGCACAGGTAAGTGCCAGGTGAGTATAATTTATATTTGCGTTCAGTAGTGATTCTAGAGACTTAGAGAGCTCGTAACCTGCACCCCGGTGTTAGTGCTCCCGCCCAGAGTCAGGCACAGTCCTTCATGTGATGTTCACCTCCCGCACCACACGCTTATCTTGGATCCAAGTTAGGTGCACAGGCTTGTCGTACATACCACTTTAGGTGGTTCCGACTCGTAGGTGACCCGCGATTATTCGCCCAGCCTTCACTTGATCGTAGCACTAGAGCGTACTTATATTACACCCAGGCCTGTCGTACAGACCACTTTAGGTGGTTCCGACTCGTGTGCAGGTATAGTTAGTGAGATGGAGATTCGAGCTCTAGATTCAGTCGTACAGGTCACGTTAGGTGACTGCGGCTGATAGTTTACATGGTATTGATTTGATGTTTCCTGAGCACTGGCATATTACTTCGATACATGTTGCATGGCACGTTTTTCGAGCATGACTTATATATATATTTTGTTTTCTGGGAAGTATACAGGTTTTACAGTGAGGGGTTAGAACTTATTTATTAAATTGGTTTTCGAAAAGCCTTGTTTTTGCCCACTCACGCTTTTGTTTTGCGCCCCTCCAGGTTCTAGTTGGCTAGCACGTTTGGTGGCTTCCCTGAGGATTTCCCCGGCATATCTGACAGACCACCACCAGTGTAGGACCACCTTCGGGTGTGCTTTTGTTGTGTCGTTTCCTTTTGGACTGCATTAGGCTTTATGCTCTGAACTTAGTGTCTCATCTACGCTTGCACTTGTTGTTATTACTTGGTGTAAAGCTAGTTTTTATTTATTTGTACCATTTATCTTATTATTTTATTAGCTTCCGCACTGTGCACATGGTTACGTCACTTCCACGTGACGGCCAACATGCCCTGATCTCGATCGGGGTGTGTCACATGAAGAGGCCTCCTAGAGCTGAGAGGTATAGACTAGGCTGCCAATGAACAATATCCTTCCAAGTGACAAAATGAAACGCTTGGATTAAAGTTTCCAATATCCCTCCAACCAAAACATATTAGTATTTGGAAAAATTTGCTCATATTGTATATAGACTAATGCTAGGCAGACCAACATTTTATACCACATTTGTAAATTATATGTTGCATCACTAATAAAAATTAAACACGATAATTAATACTTAAATAATAATTCAATCATTAACATATACATCATATGATTCACAAACTTTAATTTAAATAAATGTATCATGTCCCAACCAAACAAAACATCAGGTGAAGGATTGCTTGAGCCCACAAAGATATTGGACTTGGCGGCTCATAAAAATTTATTTTTTGAAAAGTCCCTAAAATCAAGATTAAACTTCAACACGTTGCTTGACCACATCATCTGTAAGGTAATGCTTACAAACAAACAAGATTCTATGCATTTAGGTTTCATACCCTGCTTGACACTTGTGACAGTTTCCTTTCGAATGACGTGATTATGACGTCCTATTGAGGATTTTCTCCAAAATCACTAGGCATTTAAAAAAAAATTAAAAAGTAAATAAGAAAAGAAATATTCATCTTCACATGTACATAGACCATAAAATATAAAAAAATTTGAATCTCAACATACAAGAAAGTATGAATTAAAAAAGAATCGTAACAAAAGAATTTTAATTTCAGACCTAAATTCTATCGTCTAGAGGTATTTCTGATCATGATCACCGTTCAAACACGCATGGTGATATGAATGATGAACTAATTAACCTCCGGAATACTTTGGAGAACAGGCCTCCAGGGCCGATGATGGTCCAACTCATCACGATCATCATAGTACTGATCATGATCGTCAAGGCCGTTGATCCCGAGCTGAGCCAATAGCTGTTCCACAGACGACAGACCCTGCATGTTTCCTCCTCCTTTTACCAACTCCTCCAGCTCCTTCTTAGTCATCTTGATCTTCACTTGATCTCCTCCAGTACTACTAGTGCTAGTAGAAAATGAAGGTGTTGAGGCTGCAGATGATGAATATGATCTTATCTCGCCAAGAAGCCTATGCCTTTCTGGGTTGTGTGCCATTTTAGCATCAGGCTCAAGCTGAGAAACATCAATCCAGTCGTCGTCTCCGTCCCATACCATCGAGGAATCGCGTCTCAAACAGTTTCCCATTCCAGCTACGGGTAGCTTATAAAGCCGAACAAGCTTAAGAATTAGGGTTGTTGAGAAATAGGCCCTCAAAGTGAGCTGAAAGAATAGAGAGTTTAAAGATGGGGGAAGTTTTTGTCATATATAGGAGCCCTAGCAAAGTTGTGAAAGGTGGGTGGGACTTGATCGAGACCTTAACAATATTATTGTTATAATATTACACTTGCAGCCTCCAGGAAATTGTATGCAAGAACAATATTATATTCAAGGTCGATTTTTAGTTGGTTCAATTTAGAAGAGTAGTGAAGAGGACAAAGTCAGCGGCTCGGCTTAATTTAGAAGCTCAATTTACAAGTTGAAGTAACGTTTGATTGTGCCACCTTATTTATATACTTTAATGGCATGTTTACGTAAAAGTAATTGGAACAAAAAAATATGAGTGAATTTTGATTATGAAGTATTCCGTTGTTCACCAAATATTCGAGACTAAAAAATTAGTGGGACCCATGTAATTTTTGGATCCAATTCTAAAATTTGGAGGAAGTGGATTTCCTGCAATTGGGTGAGAATTGAATTTCCTCTTTATCAGGGGAATCAAATTGATTTTTTTTTCTCCCCATTATACGCTCATTTATTTCTAAAATTCAAGATTACCATTCGGATTAACCCACCAAAATTGGTGTCTTAGCTAAAAAAAATAAAAAATCAACAAAATAAAAAGAATTAAAGTTTTTCTCACAAAGTTAAAAAATAAGATAAAGTTTTGCCAAAATAAATAATAAATGAAAAATGATTAGCAATTAAAATAGGTTATTAGAATAGGAGCATTTTTGTAATCACATTGAATTTCATTCCGATTCATATTGATTAGTAAACAACTCATTCTGATTCATGTGAATTAGTAAACAAACTTATATGGTTCAGTACTATTCATACTTTGATTTTTGAAATTTTTGTGAACGGTTTCAATAGGAATCTGATTCTGATTCTATCTCATACCAACTCCTACTCAATTCAATTCCTCTCATTCTGATTATGGATTAGTAAACGAGCCATAAAAGTATAAAAGTGAGACGTATCAACTTTTGATGTTTTTTATTAATATACTTTCAAAGTGAAACATATGAATCTTCGATCATGTACTCCTATTATAATATGTGCAATGGTGCCAATGTGACTCGAATTCTCAATACCTACAAAATATCTCTCCAAATTGGTTATTGATTAATTAGTGTGACTTGTCAAGATTTCAGACACATAAACCAACAACTCATTACTAATCACATTTGTACTCATCGTTAACATGCGTATTACCTACTAGAGTTTTATCATAAAGATCTCAGTAAAATTTTATCAGTAGCCGTTGATTATATATTGCACCTTAATTTTGTTAGATTTCTAACACGTTACATTCTTTAATATGTCTAACAGAGTTTATTTGTACACATTATTTTAGCATCCTAATTATTTATTACACTTTATTCTTATTATTATCCAAAAAAAAAATCAAACAATAGTGTAAAAGGAGAAAAATGGTATATGTTTAAGGAAACTATTATTAGTACTTCAAAAATCTTATTCTACATTCTTCATAAGTGTATTTTTCTTTCTAATTATTGAAAATTTAAAATAATAAATAGAATTTTTAAAATGCTAATAACTGTTTTCATACTTAATCCCTATCTCTAATATAAGTGTGGAGGGTAGGCTGACTAGCCGAGAGCCGGCTGGATCGTGATTTGCATGGCTTCTACGAATTGAGAAATATTTCTAGATTAACTGGAATGGTCAAACCCTGCAGCAGTTCGAAGGGACTTTTACTATATATATACTTGATCTCTTCTGGCTAGCTTAGCCACTTAGATTTTCAAATTCAACGTGTGAATTGGACTTTGGAATGGCATATTTGGGATCGGACGAGAAGTGTGAACATAGATGTGCAAATGGAATCTTTGACTTGGGAATTTTAATAAATCAATAAATTAATATATTTGGAGCAACAACTTCACCAATTCTAGCTAATTAGTTGGTCCAATTCGACAATAGCATAAATTGTTCGTACATGTGGACATATAAGGGTTGTTAACGCCGAGCATTTTTAGGCCTGAATAATGGTGCTGGTTGGAAAGAGTTTCTTAGAAAGCTCAAGAGAAAATTTAGAAGCCCAATGCTCAAGAAGCTTACAGGAGGATATATTCGAGCACAGTAGCCAACCGCTCATGAGCCTAGCTCGATTAAGAGATGCAAGAATTTCACGCCTGTTAAGAGCATGTTGGCAGACTGACAACTTTGTGACACAAGTTCTCAAAAACAGGTGTACTCAGATGTCAATCACACCACGTGACAACCATCATTCAGTGACAAAGATATAGGACAAGACGCAAAGGTAGTGGAATGGTGCTTGGGTAGTAGGGTTGGATAACCAAGGCCGAGCGAGGTGCTCAGCTCGTACCGTTCTGACATGACGCACTAATCAAGCTAAGCATCAACCTATAGTCATCGATGTAAATTTCAACGAAATAAATCCTTCTAAATTAAAGTTACAGTAAGAACAAAATAATCATGGATGATTGTTGAACAAACTGAACTTCTGATTTGGAAAAGCACTTAGAAACTAAATACTAGAATATATGATGGTGGTTTGAATAGCATGTGTAGTCCTAAAGACGAAGGGGATGAAACCAATTAGATTGTCAAACAAGTTTAATGACCTTATGTGGAAAGGCATTTAGAAACCAAATATTGAGGCTATTAATTTCGTCACTATTACAGGAATGTCACCGAAGATACAGAATTTGCATAAGAAGGAATATTAAGGCTTTAAACCCTAAAAAGTGATTTTACATAAAAAAATTTAAGCATGTTCAACATTGACCAAGGAAGCTTTCCAATTTCTTGTTCAGATGTTATAATTTAAAACAAATAGTTAATGACAATCTTCTCGTCTCTTTCTGTTTATTTTGAACTCATTAACAATGCTGATTTTTTTTTTTAAGAAAACTAATGAAAATTGTTTGAAAACTTTGAGTTTTAATGATAAAGACAAAATAAAGGGTAAAGTGAATAGTACCAGGATTGACTTTTTAGTGTAAAAATGTGGTTTTTCGTTATAGTAAACAGTACCGCGAGCTTTTCGTTAAAACTCTTTTTTTTTTCTTTCTATTTAATGGACAATGGTGTATAGGAGGCTCTATTTGCAATGGGAAAATTCCTTAAATCTTTTAATTAATTGAGATTTATGTTAATTTATTTAGAAATCATTGCCACATCACCTATTAATTCAATGATAATCATTTTAACTTTTAGTTTCGACCAATAGACGTATAATATTTGTCCATTCATCCTAATCATAAAAAAGTAGAATTGTAAGTAATATTGGTTATATTTTTGTGTATGGCTCCCTAACACACGCCGATCACACTTTTACTCTTATTTTCCTTCCTCCTCCCTCTTCTGACTACAACAGATTCCCGACAGTACATTTGTTCAAGACCACCAACGAGCAGTCACCACCTTCCACCTTCCACCTTCTGCTCTCGCGTCCCCCTTCTTTCTCCAAGACCACCAACGAGCAGTCACCACCTTCCACGTACGTAAAATTTGTTTATTGCTGATTATCTTGGTTGTATTATTTCAGAAAATGACTAGGTTTGGTGCTATATTGATAGATGGATCGACACCAAATACATTGATGGTCAAGTGAAATCAACGGTTGTGCCAGATAACGTTACTTATGAAGAGTTAGTGCATATCATACTTCAACGATTAGGTTTTGAGCGAGAAACTGTGAAATCGAAGTATTTTATCAGTTTCAAGTCTTCAAACCACGTAATATCTAAGCAGCTCAGATCATTGGCTTCTTCAGCGGGTCCAGCCTCCTTTCTCTTTTCCACTGTAGGTGATTCGAACAAACCCGTCTTTGTCCCTGTTTTTCTCATCGACTTCAGACATCAAGGTAGTACCTGAGCAACATTGGAACAATTAGAGTGACTACATCCGGACCTATGTTGGGACAATGACGGATATTATTACTTCCCGCCTACAACAAAAATGTGATGCAGCTATGCTCACCAATGGGAGGCTCGGTGTTCTTAAGGTAGACAAACATAGACTTGTTCCATGGAAAATCATGCTGAATCCTTAACCGAATAAAATCAACAAATTCTTTGAGAGGCATATCACGGTGGACATTGTATCTGCAGTGAAAAACACAGGACAGGTGACAGAATACACGTGAGAACCGTTCATCCAACACAAGCGTGTACATCTTATTTCTTCTCTATTTCCTCCTATTTGTTTCTGACAGGTTTCGTAACACATGATGTAAAAAAATAAGGGTGGGAGCGTCAAATCCTATTCCATTATTGCAATACAAATCACTATAATCAAAGCAAAAAGGAATGTCACTGCTTGCATCCTTCTCCACACTCAACCTGCACAAGGGCTCAAATTAGAGCATCCTACGTATTAACTCCACCGAAGGCATAGGAGAAAATATACGTATCTAATAAAGTGAAGGTCTTATGGGTATATGATCTGGTTCCCTTGCCCTCAATTCCCAAGCATTTAAAAACTCTCGTGTGTACATCCCCGGCTAATCCCTGAACAAATATCCAAAGCATAGATGAAAAAACAGCAATCCCATTTCTTTGTAGCAAATACAAATCAAGATAATCTAAAGCACAAGGGAAGGGGCAACTAATTAACTACCTGTATGCATAATGGTTCCAACAGACCAATCCACCTTGAAATCTGAATCTTCCCGATTTTCCTACAAGCATAAATGAAAAGGGAATAACCCTTATTCTAGTTTCCATCGCAGCCAAAAAAAAAAAAAAGATAATTAAAGAACAATGGAATCGACAACTAACTTCCCCCTCTTAAAATGTTAGGATAAAAGGGAAATGAGCAATCCTGACCCCTTAAAATAAGGTCTGCCCTCAGACCATAGCATCATTCAAGTCAACTACAGAAAAACTCATCACTTTGAAAACAAAAGCAGATTAGATCCAAATTCTGATTCTTGCAATGATTGTTTAGTTCGACAAGTCAGCTACAATCCTTTACAGAGTGATCGAGAGAGGTTTGAGGTGCAGATGGCCGGGCAGGTGATATTACTCTGACGAGATTGAGACTTATAGCTACAGCCTACAGGAAGGCTGGGGCAGCTCTGCAGGTCTCGAGGTAGAGATCACTCTGTAAAGGAAGGGGCTAAGACTGTAACTTTGATACAAGTAAATCAAAGTCACAATCCCTTCCTTCTTTCCTCTACAGAGATGTAAAACAAGGACAGAGATCGACTAGTACAGCAAATCGAATTATTAATAAAGAAAATCATAAAACAGAGACATGCACCATGTAAGCCAGAACATTTCTAAAACACATGCTGAATTTGTAAAACAAATGGACAAATGGGGCTGCCAAACAGATTCTTAAAACATGATATCTGAAACGCAACATGTTATATCTGAGAAAGAAGTTGAGTCATACTTAGAAGAGGCTTCACTTCATCCCTCTGCAAATTCCTAATGCAATCACACACATTATCCTGAGGAAGCAGCAGAGCCCAAAAAAATAACCAAATTAAAAGCCAAAACAGAAGAAAACAAACAAACAAACCTGACCCTGGTTGATCAAATGTATTGCAATCAAAGGAGAGAAGGAGTGCCAAGTTTTGGTATAGCGTTGCAATGGAACCAGGGTGCAAAGCTACAGAGGCAAATACAACATAAACCTTAACAACAAACAGTTGAAGTTAAAGTATCACCTCAAGTGGAAAGTAAGCTGGCTTCTTTAGTTTCGCAACAGTGATGCATGGGAAATCTGCTGATTCACACACCTGTAGGTTTTTATAGACGGCAAAGTATTAGAACATGTAATTTCTTCTACATTACCATACTGCTCTTGTTTCGATTTCAGAAAGAACCTAGACATAAATGTATTGCAGTAAATTCTTAGATTAAATCAGAAACCAGAAATTGAGATGATCTTTTAAGACTACTTCACAGATGGCATGGATGACTGACTGAGGAAAGAACAACAGTAAGTACTCACTGTTTTGCTATATTCTGCCTTGGGATGATCTCAAGAACCCTCACTGCTTCCAATGAAGAGGAATCAAAACTGATCTGTGAAACAGGAGAATGATTATAGCTCAATTTTGGTTGCAACTCTAAACCATATAAATATAATATATCAGAAAAATATAAAAAAATAACAGAAAAGGGAATTCAGATAGGACCAACAGGTAAACTAATAAGAAACTCAACCACAATTGCTTTCATTGGGATTATAGTCTCAAGGTTGACCTGCACCTTTAACGTTTTGGAATGAAATTGCTTCTCAACTCTCTTCCTGTCTCCCTCACTCCCAACATGCTCTGAGCCCCTCCCAGGGCTTGCATTCTTCCTAGATATTTGTGCAAAAGGAGCAATGAGACAATGTCCTTATTCAATCAAAGAGCAAGAAAATGACATAATAAACGACATGTTAGTACCTGAAATGGTTGGTCACCGCCACAGTAAGCAATTCTTTCTCTCCATAGGACTTGTTCACCAATCCTTTGCCCTTTTGTTCCATTGTCAGGCCTTGCCATGGGAATAAGTTTTGGAGTTGACGTATTCGCAAATAGCTCAACAGGCTTTCCTTCTGCTACAAGTATGACAACATTAGGAGGAATCATGGGTGGAGGTGGAGGTGGAGGTGGAGGAAGTTCAATTCCTTCAGGATTTAAAAACTCCATTTCCCAAGACCTGCTCAACCACAAAGCCCATTCCATTAAAACTTTAATACAAATAATTGCCAGAGAGTGAGAAAAATTTGCATTCTTAAAGAAAAGATGGAAGATTTCTATTAACTTTTCTAGTATCAAGAACGGAGGAAGGAACACAACAAACGTCTCAAAATTTCTAGCAGCCTAACTAAGCATACATTGTAAATGGCAAGACTCTGTGTTAAAATCTGATAAGAGAGAGAGGTGGCGGTGGAGAGAAAGAACCCACTAACCTAAAATTCAGAACGCACAGTTGACTTTCTTTGCACTCTGATAGGGAGAGATGTGAAGGCGGAGAGAACGAGCCGACCAACCTGAAACCCATAATCCACCACCGGCTCTCTGAGAGAAAGAACCCACTAACGTAAAACCCAAATGCACCGCCGCTGGGCTTCTTTGCAATCTGATAGAGAGGTGAAAGTGGAGGTACAGGTAGAGAAAATGAGAGCAAAATGTGGTAGTACAGTTGCTGGGACCCCCGAGGCTTTGTCTGTAGTGGGAGGGCAGGGGTTGTAAGATGGCCAAGTCCTAAGTCTAAATTACCTTAATTTTTTTTTTTTAAATGTAACTTGATGTAAAGGGCTTTCGCAGCAGAAATTTTTCAGGCAAATTTTCTAATATCATGTGTTGTTATATAACGTGGTGAAGTCCAAAAACTATATAAAAGAAGCCTTTAAGTCATATGAAAGATTGCAATATAATTAATGGTAGAAAAATTAAAAGTTTTATATTTTTGTATTGACATGGAAAATTTTAATTAAATAAAATGGTGGAGCTTTATATATTGTATGAAAAACCTAGTATTGAAATGATTATATAATATAACTTGTACAAGTTTTGATTAAAAAAAGATTAACACATTAGATTCGAACAAAAATAATAAGATCACGTTTGAGACTGTATGAGCATTTGTTCTATATCAACTGGCTAAAAAATAGGGTATGATTATTATATGTAAAACAGATGAAAAAAAAAAAGAGAGCTTAGTTTTAATATGGTAAAAAATAAGGCAAATTATGAGGGTATTTTTATTATTTCAGTTTAAAAAAATCTAAAAAATGTTGGCATACCAGCAACTCTCGAACCGTGGACTCTCAGAATTGCAAAATCGGACAAACTAATGAGCCACATGCTCTTTTCTGCCAAAGCTTGCAGAAATTAATATACATATTGCTTAAATTCCAGGATAGGCCTAGACCTATGCTAGGATCTATGCAGCTCCATCACTGATTATAAAAGTAGTATAGAAGATATAATATTTTTAATGTCTCTCAACTTGTATCATGACATCTGATAGTCTAATCGGTTGTGTTTTCCTTATACTGAAAAATCTCGTCGTCTACGCAAAAGTGACGGAATCTAAAACTAAATTCAGATCTAGTGCAGCGACAAGGAAGAGGACCAGGACCGAGGACGAGTCTACGCTCTAACGGTCAACTCTAGACTTTCGTGCACGGACTTGATCCTCGTCTATAATATATCTCGCACTTCGTCCAAGCGTTTTGATCATTTCCTAGCATGTGGGTAGGGGTGTCTCTCCGCACCCACCACTCGAGTCGGTCGGTTCTATAAGATGTGGTGGTTTCCATCCCCATGGTTTGAGAACTTGGAAGCTTTTCCCCCTGCTCCTGGTGCCTGTTACCTTTCCTGTGTTAGAATTTTACAAGTTTGTAATACGTAATAAATGTCCATGCATACTGTCGATGTAGGAACCTATTATCTAACAAGTATCCCAAATTACATTTGTGTGACTAAGTATGATACCTGAAGCAGCCATGTTTGAAATTAAATGTAATTCTTCTTCTCGTTTAAGATCTTATGTTCTAAAGATGATCGAACCCTTAATATTGAGAACAATTTCTTCACGAGGAGGGAAGACATGGGTAATATTATGCAGAAATAAAACAACAAACCATCAGGACAGTCAACTTCCAAATAGAACTCTCCTCGTTCTTCCATGTCTGCAAATATTCAAACAACGGATCAATTATCTCGACATATAAGTATAAAATCAAGAGCCAACAAAAATCAGAAAATTAGGGTTTTCTTTTGATAGCTGAAGAATTGATTTTGCTCGAGAGAACTGCTTGCGAAAAGTAACAATTAACCGAAAGAGGGAGAGAGAGACCAGGCCAGACCTGTTTTGCTTTGCCCTTCTCTTCTTTCCGATATTCCAAATCGAACCGTCGTCTTCCTTCTTCGTTTACGAATTACAATTTACAATCTATCTTCCCTCTATTTATAGTGTTCTTTCTTCGACCGACTCCTACAAACGGCGTCGTCTGGCTTGCTGTTGGGTTGGGCCCTTTCACTTTCTTATCCGTCGATCCGATGATAAGATATATTTGTAGATCGATGATATGATGATCGATTGTAATCTTATACTTTTTTCAAGCAATCAATTCCATTCTTCAGTTACGTACCAAAAGAAAATCCTAATTTTCAATTTTTGCTAACTCCTTCGGTGTTTGAAATTTTGCAGACATGGGACTCCTACCACGACCATTCGTTGTGAAGGTTTCATATCCTGGTCCTGACTTTGCTGCTGGTTATGATGGTGTGTTGATTTATTTGTTTTATATTTCTTTCGTTTCGTTTTTGGTGTTTTATGTGTGTTGTTTATGCAAATAGTATCCATCTTCTGTTGTTTTATGTATCTTGTGGGATTTTATTTTTGATCCAACTCTTTTGCGCTGGATTGGATGGAATTGTATCTACTTAGTTTTTTGTTTTGAACTTTCAAGCATCAAAGTAATCTGGGTGAGTGGGTGTTTGCGTTGTTTTTTTTTTTTTTTTTTTTTCCGGTTAATTATTTAGTTTTGCAAATGGCCATGCATGTGCCCTAGTTAGTAGTTCCTGCCCCCGTAGAGTAGATTTGGTCTCTCTGTCGCGCTCTCTCTCTAGTTCATTCCTTACAGATTTATGTTCGAACTTTCAGTGCATCATCCGGATTATAACTGGCGTGCTCCAGGAGGCAGGGAGCTCAAGTGACGGGAGCGTGGTCAAGTTAGTCTCTGCAAATACCCTTTTCAGTTGCTGTCTGTTATCTTGATTCGTATTTCTCTATGCTACAATGGAATTGGAAAGGATTTGGAACAAGATGCATGCATGCTTCCTTTTTTCATTTATTTCTGCCTTTTTTGTACGTTCAAACGGAGATGACATGTTGAGGGTTGGACCCTTGGAATAGTGTGTCGTACAAAGGGGCGCTAGTAAGGCACACATTCGGTATATGCACTATGTTCTAATTTTGACCACCCTCCCCACTCTCCACCACAACCACCCCGCCCCACCCAGCGCCCCCACACAACCCCACCCCCCCCCCCCCCCCCCACCCAAAAAAAAAAAAACAAAGAAAACGCTTGCGAATGAAACTACGGTTGCCAGACTTCCTGCTTCGTTAGATATGACAAGGTTAGACTCCAATTCCCTCGTGCCTTTATTATCTTAGTTTGTGATGCAGCAAATGGGATAAGCATTTTTGTTGTTTTCATCCATGCTTTTTGCTACTTTCTCAGGAAGTTTTTGGAATGCCGCGAACCGCCTCCTATAAAGTGCTTGGCAATTGAAGGCGACGCGTAAACGCCGAATACCAGTAAAATTTCTATTGCATCAGACACGTTTACTTCCCTCCTATGCATTCAATCCAGTGGAGGTCATTACCACGTTCTAATTTGAGCCTTCCATGCAGGTGAGAGTGGTTAAGGATGCAAGTAGTGACATTACTGAAATTGGAGAGACAAAGTTAGTTTCCTATACCTTTGTTGTTTGATTATAAAACTATCTAGCAAATTAACTTATACCTCCTCATCGTCAACTTCGATTTCGAATTGCTTCTTGGAACTTCTTATGCGACCAATGTGATTGCAACGAAACTTAGTAAGAGCTTGGTACTTTTTTTTTCTGCCAAGAAATTAATTAGTATATGAGTAATTTTGTTTTGTTGTGACGAACTTATTTCTAGGAGTTATTAGTTTGGGACTAAATTTTTTGTTCGTGTTAACTTCTTTTTAACATTACGTTGTCGAAAATATTTTGTGAACATTTTGATAAAAAATAATTCAAATTATGATACTAAATTCTTTTCTTCACAAAGAAACGTAACTAGAATTACTACATTATTGGATTATATCATGCCTATGTTATGGCTCCATTATTGGACTATGTTATAATCCGTTATTTATGATCCATATAAGATTTCAACTCTTTGCAAGTGTCAGATTTTCTTATCTTAATCTCACCCTCAAATTTTCATTCATCTTTTTATCCTCTCAATTTAAAAAGAGGTCTCTATATATCTATCACATCATTCATCATAGTTTCTCCATTCCATTTTCCTTGTATGAAACGAAATCCTGCCATGGTGTCGTTGAATGTTTGCAAACAATCCATGGATTTTACCTGAAAGGTGCTGGTGTGGCCCTTAGTCAAGCTCTGATAAACTTGATTCTTGATCTTCTTCAGAAAATGGGATATATGGAACTGCAGACCCCATTTTTCAAGAGCAAAGATATCAAGTGAAAGAGTGCTCAAAACTGTTTATGGGCCATATAGAGTTTGTTGCAATCCGTGCTTGTGTTTTTTTAAGATAAGTTGATGTTTCTGTGACTGAACATTCTTTTAGTTACTCTACTGCCAAGCTAATCTCTGTCATTGTTCAGAGTCTTCCTTTAAATTAGAATAGTTAGAATATTTCATTTATTTTTTATCTTTTATACTGGATACACTTGCATTCTTATCAAAAATTACATATTTATTCACATAAATATTACATCAGGTGCTTCATACATATCTCCAGAATTCTTCTACCTTGTAATTGTTTTTGTCACCTAATTGCAGCAAATACTAGCATCTCAGAAAACAACTTAATAATATGTAAGATTGACTCAAATTGTCACGCAAGGGGCTGTAGCGTCACCTTTGCTTGTACTATTAACAGGACCCTTTTACATTACATTTTGGCATTATATTAATGTGTCCTTCCTTGTTCATGATCTGAGCTTTTATTTTATTTTATTTCATATTAGGCTAAGAGGATGCTCAAAAATCTTCTTCCAATATGTCATGATTTTTAAGCACCATTTACCCCTGCTTTTTATAAAAGAAAGTTGACTAGTTTATATGAATCTGATGAATGTAGATGATTCAATTCTAAGTTTGATCAATTTGTGTTTTGTCAGTTTCAGTTTCAGTCACGGCAATTCAAGAGCCAGCCAAATGGTCATGTCTATGGCTAGAAGGGGCATGACCATAGGAGAAGATGAGGTTGTCACTACTCGCCAACCCCTTCTTCTCATATGGCCATGGGCCCTCCCTGGCCATGGATCTGGACCTCCTCTCATCTTTCTGCTTGATCATGATAATTGACGTGTGTTTAGCATGGTCAACAAAGAGGACTTCGAGCGGGTTAAAGCCAGAACTACTAGGCGTGTTAAGATTGTATTCATATACGTACAAGAAATTAGAGTGGTTCAACGTACTTTAATTGTACTGCATTCATTTAGCAGTATACTTTGTATTGGTTTTGTTTGCAAAAAGTTGGGCACACTCTAAGATGATAATTATCTTGAAATTTAAAGCCTCTAAAACTTTATAACGGAGATTAATTTTAAATGAAAATGGCTTGTTTATGTAGACTTCTTAATTAACTTATAATTTGATTTCATATGTTGAAACATTAGGGTTATGTATTGACGATGATGAGTAATTGCATAGAAGAGGAATATCGGCAACTTTATGTTTTTGTACCTTTTGCTTTTTACATTTTATATTTATTTTTAAGATCATATAATTAAATTGTTACTTAATACTACAGTCTAATGATATTCTTCTTCATTTGTGAATAAGAGGTTTTATGTTCGATTTTTGTCGAAGGTGAAATAGAACCAAACTCATAATATAATATTGTATGTATTAAAAAAAGATCCTATAATTAAACTTGATAATCGAAACCATTTAATTTGTGCACCACTTTGTAAAGAATAGAAGTTCTCAAAATAAAAAGAATTAGTCGTGACAAATATAATTAGCCAGCTGATATTCATGCCAAACTACTTGCTAAAAACACAAAATAAGGCAAGTTGGCGCTTTATCGTAGTGACGGAAAGTAATTATGCTTATGCACCTAGTCGCATGTAAGATTTCCACTTATTCCCCTCCCTCCTAATTACTAGTCTTTGTTAGCTTGCTCGGTCTCTTTTCCTTCACTGAAAATTTTCCCAAGTGGTTATTTCTAGGTAAGGTTTTTCAGAGACCCTCGTTTTGAGCTTGTCGTGGGACTATTGTTTGTACTGGCGTTTCTTTGCCCTTGATTATAATACTACCTCCCCACACACACACGCACACATTTATGCTGTGGCTCTACTTAAAAATAAAATACAAATTAAGAATTTAGTAGAGAATGATCATAAACAACTTGAGCATGGGTAGGGTTTGGTTCATCCTCTGATGATTGACATTTTGTGGATCGAGAGAAGACTACGATCGATGCCCAGGAAAACTCGCTCAATCATTCGTTTTGGAAGAACAAGAGCCGTGGTCTACGGTTCATGATTGTACAAACAATGATCCCACCCGCTGATGATCAAGAAAAAAGGACTTGCCATTTGCCACTTGCCACTTGCCACTTGCCAGCATTGTCACAACCACAAGGCTTTGGCATCTGGCATCGATCATGTCATGCAAGTGGGACGATCGATCGAGCATTTTCATCACCGACAACCTCCTAAAAGTATAGGTATACTTTCTTTCAACTGTCGTTACAAAACTGGCAAACTGCACACACCAAATATACAATATTTTTCACTTGAAATCATCGATCTTGTTCACGTGGAAAAATTAGGGGGAGATGATTTCGTACACTATTTAATCTACATGCATAATGTTGTTTATTTTTGGCCTTGGATCAAGTAAATCAAAAGAAATTATTTAGCATAACTAGTGTTCAAAAAGAGAAAAATGGTGTGCAGAATTTATTTCTAGAGAGAGAAGCAATGACTTGGCTAGCCCCAACATCAACATTCATGATTGTAACAACTCAAACAATAGAAAATGATCGCTCCTCTCTAATCGTTTGAGGCATATACGTAAAAAAACAGCCTACCACCTCAGCTTGCTGCCAATCAATCAACAATAATAATGTTCACTATAAAATCTTCTCAGCATTAAATTTTTGTGGTAAACTCCCTCTTGAAAAATGGTTGAGTGTGACCTCTATTTCCTTCTATCTCTGCAGGTTGAAAAAAGTTGTGACGGAGATATTTGATGGATTATCTTCCAAACTTTGCCTCCATAATTCTCGTTGCAAAAATCTTTCTACTTCGATTCGCTTGCTTTCCCCGGTTTTTTTCTTGACATGCATATGAGGAATCGAACTCGTACCTATATATCTTAATCTTAACCACACCTTATCTTCATGTGTTTTCATTTAATAATTAAGTTGCGATTTCGTTACTAAACTAACACAGAACCTTGATTGAAAAATCTTACAACCCAGTTGAACATCTCAAGTGGATATGGTAATTTTGCTCAAGTAGTTGGCAACTTGGCAGCAAAATTATCTGGTACTTCATGCAACTTGTCATTCAACTTGGTGCACCAGTTGGCCAAACGTCACAACGATGAAGGGATGTAACAGGCTAAAAGCCAACAAAACAAACCAAACATCTTGTAAAAAGGGAACATAATTTACGCTGATCTTCTTCTTAGATTTACAGCTTTCAAGTGTGCATGATGATACAATTTTGTTCCTGCAAGAAAACACAAGGACGATCAAATATGTTATCTTTTTAACTTTTCACAACTTATAAGTCATTGTAACGGTATTTAAATATAATCATACAATGTTATGCGAGAAATTTAAAATGCATAACAATATACTATTAGCTTGAGATACTAGTTTGAGGTTTGATTCATCATAAAGCTCCAAGTTAAGACAAAGGATAAGTTAATAACTTTGATAACTTTAACTTGAGCAACAAAAGTTTGATGGCGCTGCAACTACAATAGTATTACATAGTATCTCTTGTGCACGAATAACATGTCTTCACGACAGACAGAAATTTACTCTGAATTTTTGTCCGGAGTAAACAAAACAGGCAATTCAAATTATTCAAATTCCAACCTAACACTCAGGTTCGGACACTAACATCTGGAGAGGATTCAAATTCCAACCTGACAACGCAAAGCCTCCTCTACTTCCCGACAAACCTCCAACAAAACCTTTCTGATTCTTCTCTTTGATAATTTTGTGTTAGTGCAAGAATCTCATGTTATATTAATCCTAAAGGCGTGACGTTTTCCTACCTTAACAATATAAATATCCATGATTCTTATCCCTGCTCCCTAGTACAATGATTCCTCAACCATTTGATCCTCTAGATCTAATTAACAAATCAAATATATATGAGCATGGCCTCATCACATAATAATTTAAATACCGAATCAAGAAAAATCTTAGATGTAACCGTTTCACTATTTTATTTTTTCACTCTTTTAAGTTGTGAAAGGGAGATAATACAACAGTTACATGAAAGATTGATAAAATCTCTCCTAAAATTGAATTTAAACAAAACCAGCTTGACAAGATATATTATTGTTACGTGAGATTATGTTATATTTACGTGGTTAAAGCACTTATTGCGTGACCAAGTCACATGATAACGAGTGTTGTAGTAAACACATCAAGATGTATCCCTAGGAAATATTCTCTCCATCTCGACACTCATTAGGGTTTTCAATTATTTGTTTTAATTCATTTTGTTTATGAAAGGGGTGGTGGTGGCTGATTAATTAGTGGCAGGTGGGATTCTGATTCTTATTTTCTTACATAATTGACACACTCACACGCACCAAAACAAATGTTGCAATGCATGACGTGATATGGACGGTTGTGATGTGTGTTGTCATGCTCGATATAAAAAGGAAACCATTGGCGGGGGGAAATGCAAGTTTTAGTCTTTTTTGTACTTGTCAAATATTCCAATTTTATTGCCGTCATTGGATGGCTTATATACTACATGGTACTGCGGTACATGCTTAGATTGCCTGAGAATGTTAGGATCAGTTGCAAACGAGCAGTAATGTTTTTTTTGTCGGAGGATAAAACGTGGAGTTTGCATACATCAACCATTAAAAAACTGTACAATCATGCACTCACGATAGAGTGTAGCAAAATCTTAATTTGAGTTCGTTTGAAACTATTTAGCAAAATCTTAATTATTTACCGTTGTAACAATTTCATTTCCAAGTGAAGCTAAGCAGCATAGGATACTTGATTGCAATGAGAGATCCATCACAAGGCAGTTTTAGCCTTTCAGGTACTTGGGGACAGGGTGCATCACAAGTGAACCCATCTCCACGGGCCATGGGACATGGCTAGCGGGTCCCGGACAAGGTCGGGTCATTGATAACCCAGGGGTCCCTCACCGCAGAAGAATCCCACACAATAAGGCCGGTATAAGGGAGAGGGATCCTCAATGGTACCTTACAAAAGGGCGGGGGTCCTCCATTTGATATATATGGAACATCATCAATCCTTATCCTCCCATAACCCAAGTGGATAACAAATGCAGCTTTTTATGTTAAAAATCAAATGATGTGATTTATTAAATTTTATAAATAGTGAGTTTGATGTTAATTTATTTTTTTAATTTTTTAATATAAATATATTTTAAATATAATAGGATAAATCAATGATGTTATCATGAAAATGAGTGTGTATAGAAAGTTAACATAGCCATGATACTTAACAATAAACTACTACGGGTAGTTAGTGGTTGGAAATGAATTTTAGGTCCGTATTTCACACGGTATATTTTTAGTTCGATTCTTAATGCTAATAAATCATATGATGATGGCCAGAGGGAGACTGAAATGTTTTTGTGAGTCTTCCAGACTCTCGAAATGATGAATTGTCGTTACGAAGCCACTAACTAGTCTCCTTTTACAAAACAAAAATGGTACTTTAACAATAAACTTGATTGATGTCGTACTTTCTATGCAATTTTCATTTGTTAATCATTTGAGAAAAAAATTTGCATTATGATTGTCTGATATCGTGGATGCACATGCTACTCTTACAAAGGAACGTGTCCTCTTACATTTGAGCATCATCTAGCCCATGTAAGTACAACATTCAACTCACAAGGCATGTGTGAGAGTGATACAATCAGCTAAATGATCATATTGCCTTATAAAAAAAGTTCTCACGCGTTTTATAATATTTGTATTATAACTTTGGTGGAATTGATGGATATGTGCTAACATATGCACAGCACAAAGCCATGATAAAATTTTGGACATTCTTCGTTGCAATGTGCACCATACACTCATAAGTCATAATATTTTTAAGAATACAACATGGTCAACACATTCTAGAATTGTTTTATTATAATATCGAGCATAAATACACTTCTTTTCAGTCAAATTGCACAAATTAGTGATTCGAGCATGAACTTCATTACTTTATTAGTATATTTCCAACTTCGTGATAAACTAACCATAAGGTGGTTTAGTAGTAAGTAACAAATTTTAGATTTGTATTTTATATGGTATGTTCTGAATTCGATTATTGGCGTTAGTGAATCATACAATGAT